TTGGTATATTTTGCATACATAATGGTGCATTTTTTGGGGTGTGATGCATTTTTTGGTGTGAGGTGCATTTCACTGTGGTGCGTTTGCGTACCAATTTTTGTATCTGCACTGGCCGCACGTTAAGCCTTGCCTGCAACTGAAATATATATATCCATTGTTGTATATTAGGTTGATAAATAGGAAAGCAAAAAGAAGAAAAAGATAAGAGACTTGCACTAATTTTTTTATTTTATTTAGTATTTTTTTTTTTTTTTTTTGTATAGGGACTATAAATTTGTAATATTTTTGTGTTGGTAAGTGTTGTTATTTATGACACTACTAATTACTAGCTAGAAATGGACAAAGTTTGGAAATATGATTCTGTATCATTCCCTTTGTCTTCATGTGAAGAGCCAAAGAAGAGCTTAAAGGGCATTCATTTATTATGAGCTGAGACTCTGAGAGAGTCAAAGAACAGTGTATTGGTACTCATTCCCACAGTGTAATGATAATAAACACAAAAAGGCAGAGTCTTTCTGCAAAGGGTGATTATATTCTTTAGCTTTAAGGTCCAATGCAAGCTTTCTTGCTGATTTTCTTCTGGTTTGGAGTAACTCAAGCCTCTGACAGCCTTCTCTCCCCAAAGGGTGTCAACTATGAAGGTACAACTTTAATAACCTTTGAGTTTTTTTAAGGTTGTTTAATGTTTATATCTCATGAATGTTTGTGGGTAAGCAGTGGCTTCATTGATGTCTGTGAAGAGTAAAATGAGAGATACATTCCATGTTTTAGATGGATGGGATATAAACTCTGTTGATCCTTGTACATGGAACATGGTTGGTTGCTCACAAGAAGGCTTTGTCATTTCTCTGTATGTATATCTGTATGTATTTAGGGTTTGCAATCTTGCACCCCCCCCCCCACCCCCCACCCCACTCCCCCTCGAGTTCTAATGTTTTTAATTTGCTTGGCAGTGAAATGGCTAGTATGGGTCTATCTGGATTGCTTTCACCAAGCATTGGAAATTTAACTCACCTTAGAACAATGTAAGTTCATTCTGGGAATTTTTGCAAACAAATTTGTGTTAGTATTATGACTTTTGGTTGTCCATATTTGTATTAGAGCTTGATCAATTCTTTTATTGTTGTGACAAGCTTCTTTGGTTGGACATATTGTAGGTTATTGCAGAATAACCGGTTATCTGGTCCAATCCCTGCCGAGATTGGAAAACTCGCGGAATTGCAGACACTTGACCTGTCTGGTAATCTGTTTGATGGTGAAATCCCCGGCTCTTTGGGTTCCCTGACCCGTTTAAGTTACTTGTGAGTGAGTTTGGAATCTCGGATTTTCTTCGGTACTTTGACACGATTATAATGATGACCAAATCTTGAAAACTTTCTAATCCCTATGAAACTTAAAGGTTGGTTGCATACATTTTCATACTGTGATGATTACAATGGCAACTTTTCAGGAGGCTTAACAGAAACAGATTGTCGGGACGCATTCCTAAACCCGTGGCAAATCTTTCAGGTCTTTCATTCTTGTATGTCTTCCATCCCATATGAGATGCGTGTTCGATCTTATACAAGGCAGAAACGAGAGCCTTATATATGCAAATGTGTTTGTGCAGGGATTTGTCGTTCAATAACCTGAGTGGCCCTACTCCAAACATTTTGGCCAAAGGCTATAGGTGAGTTTGTGCAAAATAATTGACGTTTCATGACCCGACCTTATCCCCGTTATGCTTCCATAGCTGTTCAGCTATTGTTAGAATCTAAGATTGGGTCAAGCTCACTCGACTGTGAGTCTGTGCTGTAATGCACATGAGCCAAATCACACTAAAAGACTGAATCCAATCAATTAGCTAGTCTAACTCATGACCTTATAAACCCATATGTTACTTTCATTCAGAGTGCATATGTTTTGTTAAAAAGAAATCGTGCTATCTTGTTTTGCTATACTAAGGGGGATTATGCTTTGTTATAGTATTGCAGGAAACAGATTTCTTTGCACTTCATCGACTACTCGATCTTGTATGGGCGTTGCAAAACCAGTAAATGGTACTGTATATATATGCAATACTTGCTGAAATTAGTGTACTTTATAAAATTTGGATCTAGTGAATAACACGTTTTGGTTTGCAGATACGATTTCCATGAAGAAAGTTAGCAACCATCACAGACGAATCATCTCTGCGATCATAGGGGTCAGTTGCACGTTTGTAGTTTCTGTAATGCTACTCGTTTTATGGGTGGATTGGTACAGATCTCGTCGTCTCCTATTCACGTCTTATGGTACCTCTAATGAACAGACAATTTTTTATTTCCTTACGAAAAGCATCCCCAATAATGCACTAAACTGAGACTGATAATTTTTGTATGTTTCAGTGAAACAAGATTATGAATTTGCTATTGGCCACCTGAAGAGGTTTTCTTTCCGGGAATTACAAAATGCGACGAGAAACTTCAGCTCTAAAAACATTCTAGGACAGGGTGGATTTGGAGTTGTCTACAAAGGGTATCTTCCGAATGGGACGGTGGTGGCTGTCAAAAGACTGCGGGATCCAAATTTCACCGGAGAAGTGCAGTTTCAAACCGAGGTTGAGATGATAGGCTTGGCTGTGCACCGGAACCTTCTGCGTCTATATGGATTCTGTATGACACCCGAAGAGAGGTTGCTTATTTACCCCTTCATGCCAAATGGAAGCGTTGCCGATCGCCTTCGAGGTTTTTAATTTGTGATTATTTCTTTCAAGTTTTCCGAGATTTATAGTATGAAAAACAGGCATAATTTATTTGTTCACTTTCATTAACAGACATTGGTCGAGATAAACCGTCTTTAGATTGGAAGAAGCGGATGCGTGTTGCTCTTGGAGCTGCGAGGGGGCTTCTATATCTGCACGAACAATGCAGTCCCCGAATAATTCACCGGGATGTGAAGGCTGCTAATATTCTACTAGACGAGAGCTTTGAGGCGGTTGTTGGGGACTTCGGGCTTGCTAAGCTCTTAGACTGCAGAGAGTCTCATGTCACGACTGCTGTCCGAGGCACCATAGGACATATTGCACCCGAGTACCTGTCGACTGGACAGTCTTCTGAAAAAACCGACGTGTTTGGGTTCGGGATACTACTCTTGGAACTCATTACGGGGCTAAAGGCGCTAAACGCTGGTAATTCTCCGCTTCAGAAAGGCACAATCCTTGACTGGGTAAGTGTACAATGTAGTATCTGTTCATACAGAGGTGTTACAGTTGGTATCAGAGCCGTGTAAGTTCTTTAGTTTTAAGCACCGGGTAAGGGTGCAAGCTCCTTCGTTTTTGCCGTAACCACACTGGGGTTTGAACCTGAGACCTCTCATATGAGAAGCCACAGCTATGCCGCTCGACCAGAAGGCCTAAGGCCTTTGGCCACTTCACACCTACTTCTCTTGACTTTATCAAGTTCATCAAGATTGAAGCCTGCAGGGCATTAATGGTCCATTCGATTTCGCAGGTGAGAAGCTTACACGACGAGAAGAGGCTGGAAGTGATTGTCGACAAGGATCTGAAGGGATGCTTTGACACGGAGGAGCTAGAGAAAACGGTGGATGTTGCCCTCAAGTGTACACAACCGAACCCGAACCAGCGTCCTAAGATGTCTCAAGTGTCGCGAATCCTTGAAGGCATCGCGGGGCAGATGGCTCCCACCGTCGTGGATGATTCGCAGGGCGGAGGAAGCAATGCTGCCGCATCTGAAACAAGAGCTTTTAGTTTTTCACGAAATTTCAGCAGTGTTGAGGAATCATCATTCATCATTGAGGCAATAGAGCTTTCAGGGCCTAGATAACACACACTTTTCTGGTGCTTAGACTCTGCAGATAAGGCATGCATTTGTTGATGAACACTAACTTTGGTGTTTGGGTAGGCTTTTGCTTGTAAACTTCTCTGCACATAGAATATGTGGTTAGTACTGTTAATTTTATTATGGAGCAACCATACATAATATTTGTATTCAGATTAATTTCTCATTGTGCAGTTTTTTTTTTTTTTAAAATGTTTTTTATATGATACATATGAAAAACCGATTCCCGCCACGACGGGTCATAATGGAGATTTTTTGGGGGGAAACAGGGACTCTCCCTGTCTCCACCAAGACGGGGACGGCACTCCGTCCCGATCTTAATTCCTCAAATTATATTGGCTTTGTTTGATAAATGACTGTTAGTTGATAATTGTTAACTGATTAGGGGTGTTCGTTCGGTTAACCGAACCGTTTTAACTAAAATTTTAAACCTTTAACCGTTAAAGGAACCGAAGTTTGTATTACCGAATTAACTGAATCGAAATTTTATTCGATTAATCGATCGGTTAACTGATTAACCGAACTTTTTTAAGCTAAAATTTAAAATCTTAAAAATAACACCAATAATAATACTTATAATAATAAATCTAATTAAAATAATACATATAATAATAATTATGATAATTTTTATTTCTAATTTCAGTAGGGGATGACAGCAGTAGGGTTAAATACTTACATTTAACATAATATATTTACTTGTTTTATATATATTTAAAACTTCAGTTAACCGTTCGATTAATTCGGTTAACCGACACTTTCGAATCGAATTAACCATTAACTGAAGTTTTAAAAATTCTTTAATCATTAACCGAATCAAAAAATTTCGGTTAAAAACGGTTAACCGAACTTTGTCGGTTCGATCGGTTAACCGAAAATTATCCGAAGTTTGCACACCCCTATAGCTGATTGGGTTAATTAAATGCTATAACTAGTTGATAACATTAACTGATTATAGAAAGATGTTTGGTAAATTAGCTGATAATTATTTAGTATAATTGTTAGTCTTTAAAGTTAAGTACTGAAATTAATAAGATTTCAATAGTCACATAATCAAAAGTGTATATTTTTGTTTCCCGTATTTGGTTGTATTCCATAAAACTGTCTGGGTGTTTGGTCCATTTTTCAAAATGAAAGTAAAGAGGGAAAAAATTCAAAATCCCTAGACCATCCTCTCTCTATCTCTCACTCCCAGTCGTCTCTGCTTCTCAGCCCTGTCTGGTCTCCCCGGCGAGTGGCCAACTGCTCCCTACGAGCCTTCCTGCACCGGCGATTGGGCGAGCACAGGCGCACTGTTGCAAATGTAATAAATGATTTACTAATTTATTTTTTGATTTCATGCCTCATTCAATTGTTAAATCTATTTAAGGAGATTTGAAATCTTAGGGTTGTATTGAGTAACTGAATAAGCGCTGAGAAAATCATGGGGATTTTGGAAGTAGTGTTGCCTCTCAAGTACTTTAAGATCCATTTTGATTTTTCTATGAGATTTGGGGATAGCTGTGTTGTTGATTCCAAATTCTAGCAACACTTACTTTAATAATCTAATCACCCTTGTTAAGAAACTGCTATTTGTTCTTATAGATTGTGAGGCCTAATGTTTAAAATATTTGGAGAAATGAATTAAATTGTTTTTACAATTCGATTACATGGGAATAAGTGATCTTTGATATTTTTTTTTTTTTTGAATTCTTGGGATCTTGATTAGCCTTTTCCTAAAAGTTTAATTTACACATGGATATATGGAATTAATTGCAATTTTCTACATTGAATGCTTGTAATTTGTTACACTTCCAATATCTGGTTTCTTGTGGTTACCAACCGTGATTATTATTCAGGTCATTTGCAGTTTCTTAGGACTAACTATTGTTTTAAGTCATTATTTTTCTACAAATTATAGGCTCTTGTTCAACAAGTACACCAATTACAGCTAGATGAAATGTAATCTGTTACCTTTATAATCCTAATGGCTTAAAATCATAAACAAAGTTGAGGCATTGTGTGCAACTGTGCACTAGTTATAGTCACATGAAGTGGTTGCAACTTGTGCCCTGTGTGGCCACACACAGCACACAAAATGGCTCAAATATAGGCTACCACTTTCTTTTTTCTTTAAAGTTTAGATATTCATATATGATAGTTAAGAATGTTGTATAATGGGTGGAATGTTCTTATTATCCATTGGAAAAAAGGTTTAATTTTGGGATATTTGTTGTTGCCATTTTTATATTCTCCCCTCTTCCCCTCCTCTCCAAGAACAATAATAGAAGTAGTTGGCTTGTATGAGACTGGATGCATTTCAGACTACTAATTGTTACCTTTGTGTGTTTTCAGAATTTTTTTCTTGATCAATGCCAAAAAGAAGTAAAAAAACTGTTAAGCAATCTGCAAATGCTGCTTCTAACTCCAAGCAGGAGGAGCCCCAAGATGTAAAGCAAAAGGAGGTGTCTTTGGACCAAGAAGGTATTTATGCACTGTATGGCATGTTACTCTATTTTTTGTTATTGATTTTTGGTGTATTTAAGGACTCTTGTGTTGATTGAGTCAATGAATTACCAGTTTACCTGAAAGCACTTGGATAAGCAGAAAAAAAGGCTTTTGTTAGTCCATTTGTGTGCTCACTAGATATTGCAATAGAGATGCTTAGAAGTACCATTTGGCCTTCTGTATGAAACTCGGCTTTGGCTGTAGGCATAGCATGGGGTTAAGGAAAACGTTTTGCGTATTTGAGAAAATAGGGTGGTTGGTTGGCATGATATGCTCCTGTGGTTGTAATGTGGGGTGCTGCATAACATAAATAGTTGTTTTCATATTGTTCAATTTTGTATTTTGAGCTTTGATCCAAAGAACAATTATATTGAACTAGTGTCTAAAGATGGTGCTATAATTTATGCTCTTCTAGTAGCTTATTGTGCTTATTAACTTTGAGGTGTGAGAATTCTTGCTAATATAGTAATACAGCTTTTCATATTTGCTTTTGGAAATTAATTATTGTTATTAAAATCCAAATTTTCCTTAAAAAAAAGAAGAATACAACTGGATTATGACATACATTTACTAACACACTCGGGCACATGCTAAATGACAAACTTGTTCCCTTAAGTAGTAGGTGGCTTTTGAAATCATAGTTCCAAACCATCTAAAGTTTGATATAAACTCAACTTAAGTAATCCTTGTCTCAAATATAGTCTGAAACATGTTTCTTGGCAGTTCATACCAGTTTGGAATTCATCAAGGTCACAAGGTGTCAAGGTCTAACTATAATGTTGGATTGTTTCAGTGGGCATTATTATGCTTCCATCCTCTGACTTTGCATTGAGAAACGAATTTGAAACATTAGTACTACTTTATTTTTTTTTGAAAACAAACATTAGTACTACTGAACTATTATTATCCTGGGTTTGATCTTAGCTGCTAAGTGCTAATGCATACTGTATGGCTTTAAAAGATCCAGAGCAGACTATGTGTAATCATTTATGTTTCAGTGCACATCACCAGTTTACTGTTTATTAATTAAATTTCCTTGAGTGTAAACTCAAAGTCTTCACCTTGCGTCCTGGGTCATGTATGGCTCAATTTTCTAGTTGCTGGCACACTTAATTAATAATTTGCAATTAATCACCCTGATGAGACATAAACCTTTTAATGTTGCTGTGCGCCATCCTGCATGCCATTTTCTATTCTTTCCTCAAATTTTTAGTGTTCAGTGAGATTGTACTTTACTGAAGTTTCTCTTGCACCCTTTTTATTTTCAGATTTTGTTGAACATCAGAGTGCAGCAATCAGGGCTCTTCGTGATGTGCAGATTGAACAATTACGTACTATGTTACGGTTGCTACGCTCTAACTTTAGCCAGGAACAGCTGCAAGTTCCTGTTTTGCAATTTTTCAGAGAAAACCTCCCAAATCTGGTGGTTGTAAGGAATGAGAACGATGGTATGTATGAAGTGCAATGGAAAAAAGATGATGGTAATTTAAGCATGGACCAACTAGATGGAAGAAATATACATGCTTCTCTTCTACAACGCTTATCCATGGTTTATCCCAGTTGTTCTGCAGCAATGCCACCTATTGGTGGATTTGAGTTTTCGAATAAATCTGGTATAAGTGTTGTTGATAATTCTTACATAAGAAAATTTAAATTTGTGTTCCAAATCACCTAATATATTTTATTTACTGGTGGCAGTGAAAACAAGTATCTTCGGTGCTGAGAATCTCCAAATTAAGGGATTTGTATGTTTGTATCCAAAGTATTACCTTTTGCAGTAGTTCCCATTTTCCTTTGCTAATTTTAACTCTAGTTATTTATAGCAATCATCTTTGTTCTTTATCTCATTTAAATTCACATGTTTTTCCTATGTTTTCTTTCTTGGATGATCATGCAACCACATAGCTCATCTATCTTCTGTAGATGAGTTCAGCATGATGTAGCTTTCCAAATGTTCATCTCACTGCTGCAGAACTATAGTGCGCTTCATCTTATGGATGATAGACATACATGATAGGTTATAGGTTTTCACTCGTATTGATGATCCATCTGCTTCTAAGATTATAAATAAATTATTGCGTTTTGCTCATGCTCTCAAACTATCATTTCTAGGTACTAGAAGAGCCATCAGAGACTCAACTGTTTGAGCAGCAGGATCTTCTCCAAACTCCGGGTGTATGTATCTTGCACTATCTCTATATTGTTGTTTGCTGTACTTTTCCTTTTTTAAATACTCACGTATATATGGAGTAATATCTGCTAGATAAGATAAATACTATAGAAAGTTAGAAACATCTTTACCCTTCATTTTAATTTCAGGCAAATAGCCACCGGTTATCTGTTGGGATGACACCGAAAACTTTGAGGCAGCCCAAACATGGGGAGATGCTTCTATCCGTACATGGCTCACCCCTTGGCGTTTACAAGGAAGACATGGAAGCAATACACGGTACGTACGTACTCTTCTGAATACGATCTTGTATGGCTATGGGGTAAAGATACTAACTTTAATTACCATGCTGTTATATTATCCAGAAACTAACCTTATATTCTTTAAGTGGTGAAATGACAACTTTGTTGTTCTCTATTTACCATGAAGTGTTATCCTGTGACATTTTTGTATACTGAATTCTCTTTATGCTGTTGCGGTTCTAACATATCAGTTCATGTTGCAGAATCAGAAGATGGTTCGGCTTAGATTATGGACCTGTTATTGTAGGCATTATATTGGTGGAAGAAGTTACTGCCATTGTATTTGATCAAAATTTCTGTGTTGTAAGTTGTTACTTGTTAGCGTCTCATGTTTGCTTTTTTGCTTTGAAGCAACATATTTCTTACTTCAATTAATGCGTTGAAGCAAATATTATGCCTTGCTTTAATGTATTGCTCTGGTAAATATTGTTCTTGTAGAACATTGAAATGTCGTGCCTAAATACTCAAGCTTACTTATACTAAAATTTATAATATTGATATATGGACTCACGCACTCTTGTCATATTATCTTAATTTTATTAATAAAAGAAAAAAGAGAGTAATAAAAATTGTGACTTAATTATTTTTTTGGATGAATCAGAACATGCCACGTAAGTAACAAGTAAAAATTGGAAATACATGTATTACTTTTATACTATTTATTATAATAGTTTTTAAGTATCAAGTTATGTGTAAGAGGAGCAAGTCCAATTAAATTGGTTAGACTGTTAGAGTTTTGATTTGGTAATCACAGTATTTCAAATTTGACTCACAGTAGGAAGTGGCTTTGAGTTGGTCAGTTATGGATAATCTAAGCTAATTTATCTCCTTATAATTTTTTGTTAACTAGCAGCATCACAAGGCGGGGTTTATGCATTGCACGCTCCCTAGTAGTTATTGTAGGTTTTTTTATTCATCAAAAGAAAAAAAAAATGTGTAGGCAATTAAATTAATGTAAAAAGTTATAGGGTGTATTTGGTAAATAGTTGTTAAGCTGATTGAGTTAGTGAGTTTGATTAGTTGATAGCATTAGTCGATTATAGAAAGATGTTTGGTAAATTAGTTGATTACCTGCAAAATGATTTTCTCAAAATGTTTATCGAAAGAGCAGTTTTTTAAAATTTAGCGTTTTGGAGCAATAAATTGTTATAAAAAGTTAATTAACCAAAACACTTATATTTACTATTTAATCGAGTCAAATAGGTAATAGTGATTAAATAAATCAAAATTAATTGATAAATCGTGTTATCAAACAGAGCCATAATGTTTGACGTAATCGAGTCATATTCATTCTATTCGATTTGAAATAAATAATACGTAGTATTATCAATGAGGAAATGATTAAGATATGGATAGATAAGCAACAAAGTGAAAATAGTCGAATTATTGCGAATATAAAGGAGGAGACCTAAATGTGTGGAGAAAATGCCGGCAACGCAGCAAAGTACTATGTAAGTGAATTCTTTGTGTTAACTCGGTGATATGGATTATCATTCATGAATAACCATTAACCATTAACCATTAACCATTAACCATTAACCATTAACCATTAACCATTAACCAACAAAGATAAAGAGTAACTATTATGAGATAAATGTTTTAAAAAATATTATTTTGTTTTAAATTTATAAAAAGAAAAATTTGCATGTGCTACTTGAATGTGCACTTTGAGTGTAGTCTACTAGAGATAATCATGGTTGGATTCGAACCGTTTACTTTAGGAATTGAACCATAACCTTTTCTGGTTCCGATTCTTAATTTTATGAAATCGAAAGAAAAAAAAAAAAAAACAATTTAATATGTTTTGGTATGTTGCAATCTTTCCATCAATTTTATTTATTAATGAATGAAATATTTTATTCATTTTTGTTACAAATGACAATTTGGTATATTTAATCCATAGGCCATTATACTTACTAAATTGTTTGCGACATGGGTTGGGAAGATAATATTATCAAATACTTATCTTGAACAAATAATTTAACTAAATTAAAGTAGCTTTAATATATATTATCTTTATTATCGTTTTACTTGTCTCTTTTTACCCTATTGCATGATGAGAATACAAATGAAAAAAAATACAACATATATGTAGACATGTAGTATAAGATAATTACTTATGGGGAACAAGAAGTAGTCCCAACAAAATTTAATTGTTGAATTTGAATTATTTTAAAAATAGAAAACATAATCTAAAAAAGAGTTGAAGAGTTACTTTCTCTCACCGCGTCAAATGATTGTGCTAAGTTGGAATATCAGGGGCCTGCTCTCATCTAGGAGTAGGCTTAAGAGACTTTTACGACGTGAGCATGTACAATTCGCCATAATAATTGAGCCGTTCCTCGGCCCTGATCGTTTGAATAATTTCATTAGTGAGTTTGGCTTTGCTGGGGGTACGCGTCCCCGGCTTCGAAAATTTGGCTTCTGTGGAAGGACTCTTTTGAGGTTGTGATAGATTTGGAAACTGACCAGTTTGTTCTATGCGCTGTCTGCTATGTCCCTTGGCAAATCTTCTTCAACTACGTGGCAGTATATGCAAGCCATACCAGAACGGAGCGTGCACAACTCTGGTCACAATATTCTATGCTTCTTGATAATCCCAGGCCGACCCTTTTTGAAGGGGACTTTAATGTCATCTCCATCTTCTCTGAATATAGAGGCAGCTCTTTTCCGAAACTTGGGAGTATATCTGATTTCTCTGAATTCATAGAAGACAATGCTCTAACTAATCTAGAGACAATATGTGGGCTTTATACCTGGCATGGTGTGCGAAGCTCTGGAGCAGTTTGTAAAAGGCTTGATCGGTTTTTAATCAATCCGGCTCTGAGGGATTTATTCACTGAGCTTCGTGTCACAATTTTGGCTCGGGCAATTTCGGACCACTCCCCTCTTCTGCTCACGAGATCGAATGTAGACATGTCTGTCCCGAAGCAATTTCATTATCAGAATATGTGGAAAACACATCCCTCTTTCTTAGAGGCTGTGCGATAGAGTTGGACACAACCGGCAGATGGAGGAGGCATGAGGGCTCTCGCCTTCAAACTAAAACGTCTAAAATTGGCCCTTCGATCTTGGAATAAAAATGTTTTTGGAAACATCTTTGATCGAATCCGCAGGTTAGAAAATGACGTGGCTGTTGCAGAAACTTCTTTTGATAGGTGCCCGAGCCTTGCTGCACAAACTTCAAGCGGATCTGATTCTTGCACTCAAGCAAGAGGAAATCTTTTGGAAGCAAAAGGCCCATGCAAAGTGGCTGAAAGAGGGTGGTGCGAATACTCGGTACTTCCACAACATAGTGAAAGATCGTCACCGCCGCCAAAGAATATGTGCTATCAGAAATGACACGGGTGCTTTGCTAACCTCTCCCACTGCCATGCAGGAGGAGGCCATTTCCTTTTTTTCCAGGCTTTTCACGGCTGAGGATTGCCCGGGGATGGACAGCCTTCTTAACTGCTTATGCCCGGGTTTGAGTGAAGAAGATGGGATCGATCTGTTAAAGCCTATTACACAGGATGAAGTGAAAGAGGCGGTGTGGAAGCTTGATCCTGATAGTGCAGCGGGCCCAGACGGCTTCACGTGATCCTTTTTCAGACACTGTTGGGACATTCTTCACGAGGACTTTTTCCCATGCGGCCTTGGACTTTTTTGTCTGCGTCCCGATCCCTCGAGCGTTAGCCAGTGCACAAATAGTGGTGATTCCAAAAAAGAGTAATCCGGATACGTTCGCTGACTACAGGCCTATATGCCTCTGCACTTTCATAAGTAAGGTCTTCAACAGGATCTTGGCTTCCCGGTTAGGCACGGTGCTGCCTAAGCTGGTCTCAAGAGAACATGCTGGTTTTGTGGAGGGTCGAAACATCCAGGACAACGTTCTCCTAGCCTTTGAGTTGCTGCAACACAGAGATATATAAGCGATGTCGTGGATCAAATGTGATCGTAAAGCTTGACATGATGAAAGCTTTCGATAGGGTTTCTTGGCCTTTCCTACAGGCGGTTCTTGACAGAATGGGCTTTCCTACAATGTTTACTAATCTCATCCTGAACAACCTGCAGGCGACAAGGCTGTCAGTGTTTATTAATGGGGTCAGTGCCGGTTTACTAATCTCATCCTGAACAACCTGCAGGCGACAAGGCTGTCAGTGTTTATTAATGGGGTCAGTGCCGGTTTTTTTCAGCCAACTAGGGGAGTTAAGCAAGGCGACCCTCTTTCCCCTTTACTCTTCATCCTAGCTTCCGAAGCTTTGTCCCGTTCGCTGATTTTAAAGATGGGCATGTGTGCACTATCCCCTTTTTCAACAAGCTTGCGATGCCCAGTAATCACTCACTTGGCTTTTGTTGACGATATTGTCATTTTTATTAATGGCTCGTCAACTTCCTTAAAAGCTTTAGCAGAGGTTTTGAAGATGTATCAAGATGGGTCCGGACAGAAGATAAGCTACTGCAAGAGCTTTTTCATCACTTCTAAACACAGTACCAACCAGAGGGCGGCTGCTATTGCCCGAATACTAATTAAGGAATGCAACGATCTTTTGTTCCTTTTCGTTATCTGGGGGTGAATTTATTTAAGGGCCGAAATAGACCCTACTTCTACCAGCCCCTCTTGGAAAGAGTCGACGGGAAACTAGCCGGTTGGCAGCATAAGCTGCTTTCGCCTGGTGGCCGGTTGATTCTTATCAAGTATGTTCTCGCTATGATCCCGTTGTACACGATGGCTTCAGTGTCCTTACCTCGACAGATTGAGAACATGTTGGTTTCCAAGTTTGCTAAATTTTTTTGGGGAGTTGCTGATGGAAAGCCAAAAAGGCACTCGGCAGCCTGGGAGAAACTTTGCTATCCAGTAGATGAAGGCGGTTTGGGGATTCGCCGGCTTGACACTTTGCAGCGTGCCTTCTCCGCCAAGATTTTCTTTCACTACTACTTGCAAGGAGGTTCTCTCTGGAGTGATTTTCTAAGCGTTCGTTATCAAGATAATCAACCTAGAGCTTCAGATTCTATCACTTGGCGTCGTATGTTAGCCGTTAAAAGTTTTGCGGAGGATAATATCACATCTGTTGCAGGCGACCTTGTGTGAACCCCATCCCCCTTCGGTGATTTATCTATTGCCTCTGTGTATGAGTTACTTCGGCCTAAAGTTGGGCGTATTATGTCTTCGGCTTGTATCTGGGAGAAGACTATACCAACCAAGATTTCCGTCTTCATGTGGAGATTGCTGAAGAAGATGTTGCCTTTCCCAGATATAATTCAAAAATTTGGTTTTCATGGACTTTCTATCTGCCCTCTTTGCTGTGAGAGTGTCGCAAGTCTAGAACATTGCCTTCTTCAGTGTTGCGTGGTACAGCAGGTTTGGGTTCACTTCGGTGGAATTTTTGGCTACTCCATTAGCTCTGCTTTGACTGTGAGGACGATTTGCCAGTCGTGGTGGCTTGCGGAGTCTCCGGGATCACGAGCTGGAAATTGGCTGTGCTTGCTGCCATGTCTAGTTCTCTAGTTTCTGTGGATTTCTTAC